CAAGGAAAAAGAAAACAAAAAGTTTATACTTACCCAAAAAGGAAGGTATGTGGTAATCTGAAAAGCCCATTGCTAATTGGACATGGTGCTCTATTAGCACCATAAATTTAGATATCCCTTTCCAGCAGTATTTAGTTAGGAGTACTATCTACTTTAGAGAAGATTCTTTCAAACAAAGAATCAATCATGCTTTCTTGCCAAAATCACAATACATATAAATGCAGCAAATATGTTTCAGATTTGACTATTAAAAAAACAATATATATATATATATTGAAAACACGAAAAAGTGAGAAAAAAGAACAAAAAAGTTGCTGAACACAACCTAAAAAGACTAATTAAAGCTCATTAAACTAATGGTCTAAGGCAAAGAACTACTTACAGGAGAATACTAGAACAAGATGTGGCAAAGATAGTGTTAAGACTTATGAAACATCCCATGGATGCAGTCTTGAATAACTTGCCTCAAAAACAAAGAGAGGATCAATATACATCCTACTCAGAGAATTTTAACGACATTTACCTAACATTAACAGATATAACTACAGAGTAGCATGCTATGTCATCATAGGAAGATTTTATAGCAAGCAGTAAAACCAAATCGATCACATTCTGAAGTAATAATAATAAGAACAAGAATATGAAATTGGAAAGTTCATTATTACCATGGGAAAAAAGAAAAAAACTTTCATGAAAAAACTGCTTAAAGCCATACCTTTTTATTAACAAGTAAAGTTCCCTTTGCAGCAGAACCATTGTGAAAGAGGCGGAACTGAATCAACAAAGGCTATAAAGAGAAAACGAAAAAAAGGTAACAATTATGCAAAAACAAATATTATATATATTATATACACACACAGCAAGAAAGTAACAGTGATCTGTGAGATATACATACTGGCTCCATAAAATGAGCATCTGGTTGTATCATGTTCAAAATTGTCACCTGGAGCCCATGGAAATATTATCTTTTAGGTAAATAAAGATGATTGCAAGAATAAAAGAACAAGAACAAGAGGTCAGATGTCCCAGTGGTATTCAATCCCAGTAACATCAGCTATATAAAATGTAATATATTAACATGAACAGAGAACAGGACACTATGGAAACAATTCAAAATCCCAAGGAAGCTAAGATCCATTTTCTCCATTGGTATACCAGCACATTTGATTCATGCTGCTGGATAGAGGCCCTTGGGAGGAGGTGCATGGTGACAAGGGAGTCTGTTTTAATAAGTAGATTTGAGAAGTTATTGTCAATAGCCAGGTAAGGTCATCCTAAAGGGCCCAAAGCTCAGAATCAAGGTTTGTTTGTAGCCAATTTTCCCAGAGAAACAAGGATCCAGTTGCTAAAGTGATCTCTGAAAAAGCCTCCAGCTCCTGCAGGCCAGGATTTCCCAAGTAGGCACTGTCAGTAAGTATTTAGCTTAAGGGAATCTAGTTAGGGTTTAGTCGAAGTGACAGTGAACTCATTTTGAGAATGAGTAGCCATACTGACAGGTTGCGAAGACCAAAACTTAGAAGCTCTTTCAATGATTATTTATTAAAAATGTAATAAATTGGACAATCAGTAAAATCCAAAAATAAGAGGACATGACAACAGAAACAGACAACACCCCAGCCCCCAAAGTCAGGTTAAAGAATGGATCAGTTCTAAGGAACCAGAATAAAATACAACATTTTATACCACTTAATGCACAGAAAGACACATGCCTAACAACCTACAGAATAGTTTCCAACTGTCTCAGTAACTTCTGAAAATCACAACCTTTAACCTTATTATGGGGTTATACTAAAGGATTGTTAAAAAACAGCACCAAGATAACCCCACAAAAACCTTAAATTGAAAAAGCAATTCATCTCCATAACAATTAGGAAATGGAAATCATTGCCAAAACCCTTCATTAAATTAATAACACTTGAATGTCATCACTACTGGTATATTGGTGAAAGGTTCCAATTAACATCACCAATCCACCAGATTCAATATAATAGATAACTTAATCCTACCTAAAGTTATTACATCCTAATTTAACAAATTTTTCTTTTTTTTCTTTTTTCAATTTCCATAGATACTTGACTAGATGCAGCCAAAGAAGCCCAGTATTATAACACAGCTTATACATGTGCGTGTGTAGGTTTTGAGGGAAAAACAAGACTGGGACACAACTAATAATACAGAAATATGGTTGCCCATGTAGAAATACAAAGAGAGCATTTCTCATTTCCATTTACTATTCTTCTAAATGCACATGTGACATGCAAGTAAAAGTAATAAATTTCTAGTTTCAAAGTTATTTGAGAAAGGAATTAATACAGATTTAATGCAGATTCTCATTTAGACAACAAGAAATCACATCTTTTTTTAATACTAGAAGATAGAGCTAATCAAACACATAAAATAACTGCATGAAATTTCTGATAAATGGTTGACAATCCCCAAAACATATAGTCAAATATGTAGCTTATAGTAAACCAAAACCCAAATTACCAACCTCAGTATTCTCCTTGTTGTGATAACTTCCATGGACAACATTCTTTGGGCATTTTAAAGCTAAATCCTCAGATATAAAACCTGTCCCATCAGTGTGTATGCACAGGTTTCCATCTTTATCATAAACATAATTGCCATTTTCATCCTGCAATACATGCATATAAAATAGGGAAAAGAGATCAAAAGACACATAGTTAAGATAGAGAAAGACAAGACAAGATGCTCATTGGAAACTTAAGTTATATGTCATACCAGGCAGGGTATATCATCTATCCTCTGAACAGTTACATCTGCTAAATTAATTGCCAGCTTAACTGTCTTAGACAAGATAAGCGATAACCTATATTTCAAATGAAAGAATAGTTTTCAAATTATCCAGAAACATCCTAAAATGAAATGATAGGAAGAAAGAGAGATCAAAAAAGGAAGATTCTTGATATTACATACCTAGCCATATACTTGGGCACATTTGGTAGAGTATGGACATGCATGAACACACTTCTAGCCTCTTGAACAGTTTTTCCAGATAATAAATATTCTTGATTTTTATCAAGAGATGCACTAGACTCCATACGAACAAATAAGCATCTAACAGAGGATATATTTTGTTCTTTCTTCTTGGCTTCTTTCCTTCCATCCTTAAACACTGATCATTAACCAGGTGGGATAGAAATAAACATTTTATGATCCTTGTAAGGATAGAACTAATCATTGTAGGAGAACACTGACTTCAGTAATATAACAAGCATACTGAAATCTTCAGAAAGAATGCATGATCTCCAATAATAAAACAAATAATGCTAAAGGATAGGATCTTCATATGGTAAAATCACATGCTATAACATAAATTATATTAAATACTAGTTCAAATTGGTAGTTTTCACAAAACTCAAATGGCTGCCCCCAAATGGGAGCATCAGATAAATTAAGAGAAGAGCATCTTCAAGAACATTGATATCTTCCATTTGGAAAAACATGAAAAAGTAGGCGTCATATCCCCACCAACAAGGAAAGCATAGAGGTACCATTTTGCTCAAACATGCAAACAACCTAAATAATCTACAGAATATAAAAAACTGGCAAATAAATGTGAATAAAAAAAAAAAAAAAGAATGGCCCAACAAAGGACTAACCAAAAAATTTCAAAACTTTCTTGAAACTTGCTTAAAAGCACCTTCAAAGGCCAATTTTTGAATTTCCCTCCAACAAACTTTCAAATTTGTGAGAGAAGAATTTGCTTTTAAAGGAAGTGCATTTCAAGCTTTGCCAAACACGCTCAATAGATAACTTGAGCCAGTACAGCAAGATCACATGAGAAAAATGTACTAAGCAAAGATGCAGGAGAAACAAACATAAACCCTTAAACATCACGTTGATGAGGAGCTCTTTGTAGAAAGCTCCTCCTAGCAAACACTTCTTGCGACACTAAGCAGCTAAAGTGAAGAAACATATAAGCAAACAAACTGAAAAACGTGCATGTTTGTTATACATACAACAAAAAACAGGGAGATATACAACCAAATCATGCCTGCACACCAACCTCATAGTATCCCAAGAACTGAACCCTTTTCACCACTTCACCCACTTGAGGACATAGATATGCACAAGATAAAATATGCTTATGGACATAAAAGGGCAAAAAAATGTGTAATTTCTGTACACACTGTCTGGAAATGATGATGTAAAAGCTGCAATAACAATTATGAATCAAATGAAAGAACAAGATAGAACAAAAAAATTCAGGACCACTGTAGTGAGAATGGTGAAGACTCACCAGAATAGCAGTAAAAACACAAACCAACAGTGTTGCACTTTTGTTGTAAAAAATTGCTGTGATTCACAAGAACAAACATGAACAGGAAATCCAGGCATGACAAAAAAGACCTACCAAAAAAGCGGTATCTTCTCAGCCCCACAAGGATTCCTTCTTTTAATATTTTGTGGTATGCAGGGGGATAATAATTCCTTGGAAAGCTTTTCCAATCGTAGCCATCTTCTGCAAACTTTACGATGAGAACATTGTCATCCCCTAAAACCCTCTGTAGATGAGTTCTTGTCGCATCAAGATAAGGGCCCTGAAATTAAAGAGATGGAGATGATAATACATCTAAAATATAATAAGAACATGTAGCATTCTGGACCGATAATGCTGTAAAAGAACCTAAAAGATGGGTTCCATTCAATTTTATATTTGATGGAAATCTCCAATTTACCTTATGCTAAGACATATCAATGATCAGCAGATTCTGATCTAGATCCAATGGACTAGATATTATCCATTTTTCACTAAATCTTAAATCTGCAGCATGGCTTCTTGTTGCATAAATGGTCCATTCCAAAGAAAAAATAAACAAATAAATAAATAAATAAAGGGTAGAAAGAAAAAGAACTACATCATAAACAGTTGTAGGAGCTTAGAGTGACCAACAATGCAAATCTGAGGCTGAGATCATCAATTCAAAGCAGATACATCCACATGCAAAGTTTGATAGGTAACAAAACCACTGTCATGACATATCTGTAGAAGGGCACAATATATAGAGCATATGACTATTAAGACATGATAATTGGCTTAAGATAGTCAAATTTAGACCAACTTTTTCATGGCCTCATCTCTTTATCAACATCTGAAAGTTGTTTCTACAAGTGTCATTGCATTTGGTAAATCTTACCATTGTAAGTTAATTTGTGCATTCATATGCATGCCTGCAAAATAAAGATTATGAACAAACCTCAAATCTGAGATTTCCATCCAGGGATACATGACAATGGTACAAACACGTCTTTGCACAATCCCAGTCAAGATACTGCAATAAAAAAGGGAGAGGCAGAAAAGACAGAATAAGAGGTAATTAGTCACATAAAAGCACAGAAACCATAGCAATTAAGGGAACAATCATCCCATTCATAGATCCATAGTTTCAGATTATTCACAACACTTATTCTGATATTAGAAACCACCAGGCTGATAATGAAGTTGAACTTTAGATATGTTCTAGTCCATCCAATATTCCAATTGTTAAACCAACAGATGGAATATGACAATATCCTCTAGAATTTGTAATCAAAATGGATGCAGTAACAGCAAGATTCCTTTAAATTTGTGATCACGAAGAAACATTAAATAACTCAATTAAACTCAAAGAAACATATGATGATTGGAACCTTTTACTCACTTAAAGAGATTATGTAACCAAAAAATTGGACAGAAAATAAACTCTGAAAAGAACACAAAAACAGACTACCTAGCGCAAACAATAGAGAGATAGAATGTACCTTGCATCGGTGTGAATCATTTACATTTTGGCCCAGACGTTTCCAAACCTCCGACTCAAAATCCACCATTGCCAAATCTTTGAGTTTCCTAATCCAATCAGCAGAAGATATAGCTTCTTCCAGTTTCTTTCTGTTTGGGGAGAGAGAAATTTGAAACTCAAAACCATTGAAGGAAAAAAAAAAAAAAAAGTGCATTTCTTTACCATGCACCAAAAAGGAAAGAGAAGCAGAAATCTTACGGGCCAATGTAATTAAGAATGAGGAAAGCCTTTCTAAATTCAAGCTCCCCCAATGCCATCATCTGGGGGCTGAATCTTTCTTCTGTGACTCCTAACATCTCTACCACTGAGTTATCCGGAGGGCGAGACGTTCTTTGCTGATCAAGAACTAGGGAGCGCCTAACAGTATCATCTGCTGAAGAGAGGGAAATGATTTTGCCAAAAAAACAAGAAGAATAGGAGGAAAACGAAAAATATGAGTAGCGGGTTAACCTTGGGAATTCATCATCAGACGTACAGTCCGATACCGACGGGGTGCGGTGTGCGGGCTCCGATTTTGGGGATGGTGCCCCTGTGGGGAGCCGTAGTCCACCGGATCGGTTGCCGGCTGTTCAAAAACTTGAGAGCTTGCGCCTGTATCTGCCGAAGAAGAGAAAGTTTTACAGAAACACGATTAACAGGAGCAGAACAAAATGGGAAAAATCTGGGCAGCGCCGACCTTGAGAATTCGTCATCAGACGTAGCGTCCGACTACGTGGAGTGACGGGGCTTCGCGGAAGGTGGTGCTGCTGTGGAGAGGAGTACCCCACCTGAGAGGCTGAGATTGCGACGGTTTCATCTGATGAAAAAGAGACAACTTTTTGCAGAAACAAGAAAAAAAAAAAAAAAACAGTAGAAGAAACAAAATCTGGGTAGCCACTGACCTTGAGACTTTGTCATCAGACATACCGACCGACCTGGTGGAGTGAGGGGGCTACAGTTTTGAGGCTGCGAAGAAGGGGAGAGGCGTTTCGGCGGCGGGCCTTCATTGGCGAGGTAATTATTGATCATCCACACAACAATTCCGTCGAACGGTCTTTTAAACTCTACCCGCGAATCAATATCCTGCAACATACAAAGAGCAGCTGGTTCCCCCACAGATTCGAGCAGCAGCCGAGTTGTGGCCAATAGCGGCGGCTGTTTCTGTGCAAGACAGATTTTCTGTATTAGTTCCTCCACCGATTGCGGTAGTGGCACCACCCCAGAAGTACCGTTGTTCATCATTGAATTGAATGCTATAAAGTCTGACTTTTGGGCGTCGAGTAAGCGAGACTGGGATTTGAAATTCTCTGCAACGGGATTGAAAATGTCGTTCGGCCTTTTTCTGGTTTTGTTTTTTTTCGCGCTCTTTGAATGGAAGTGAAGC